TCAAGGCTCGATGACGATGTCTATGGGCTACAGCATCTACTTACCATCAGGTGGACCGTGTGCTTGTTTGTCACCCTTCTTATATATATTTTTTTAATAAAACTGAAGTGACAAACGAACTTAAAATTCACCTGATGATGAATTTTATGACTACTGCGTCCATATCAAAGGCTACAGATGAGCACAGGCTCACATCTTGTTAATATACTGGCTCTCCATATCCTCAGGCACTGCTGTTTGGCTATAATGCTGCAGAAATAGGTAAAAGGAGTCACTATACCTCAATCAAGGAACTCTTTTTTTGTCACGGTTCATTTTACAGAGGCCTATGAATCTGTTTTATGGATACAGTTTCAAGCATATGAACAAATTAGTTTAATATTATTAAATTACGAAATTTCTATTAAGATATCTTTTAGAAGTGGCGTGATACAGATAATATTGTTTTTGACAGAGACATTAATCACATTTGTTTTGATGGAATTTACGTCATTCGTGTCCTCCTCTTGGTACAAACATTGTCGTGAAACGGTATTTATCCGCAGTATTTGTTTCTACGTAGTTGTATACTATGCTTTATTTATGTTGTATTGCAAACGTATATTGCGTTCCTATCGTACCGTATCCTACTGTATAATTTTTATTCATTATAAGGTGTACAGCCTACGTCACAAACATATGTTCTTTGTGCAAAGGCTCTATGTTTGCAGACACATTTGTTTAAAAAAAACATTACACGGTTTATAATTAATTGTTTAACGTAATTAGACACAGTAACGTTTAAAACATACAAGTAGAAAAATATTCAAACCCATACTTCTGTATTTATTTATGGAAATTCTGGGGGTAACATATGATACGTAGATCTCTTAAATAAACATGAGATTGAAATATCAAGTAATAACGAATACGAACACTTATCTACGTTACTACTGTATTCCTCTGCAAAGCGTATACAGAGTTGGTATAATTACAGGTTGTGGGGTATTCTGTGGCCTTATTTGTTTTTTTTATAGGATAGGGTAACACACGAGCAGACAGTCCACCTGATGGTAAGGTGGTTGTTGTGGCCCATAGACATCTACATCTATCCTCAATAAAGAATCAAAATGCATGTGCATTGTCACTCGTGAGTACTAAGATGGAATGCCTCTTTTCCAGTAAAATGGGTCTCCGGTTCTCTACGCTCACCATACTAAACACAGCAGTGTTAAGCTGGTATTCTGTGACAGCGTGGTCCTTCCCCGGTCGAGTCGACCCATTCGTGCTACAACTATACTAGTAATATAGCTGCAGCAATTGTTCTACCAAAGTCTAGTCTTGTTTGAAGTTATCTACAGGATATCCTGCATAGATTACAGCTAACTTTACCTAGTAAATAAGTTAGGTTTTTTTGTGTCACTGCAAATCACTATACCTCAATCAAGGAACTCCTTTTTTGTTACGGTCAATTTTACAGAGGCCTATGAAGCCGTTTTATGAACACAGTTTCAAGCATATGAAGAAATTTGTTTAATATAAGATATTATCTTAATACAATTATATTTTTTTCTTAATATACTTAATATTAAGAAAAAAAATCTATTATGATATCTTTTAGAAGTGGCGTGATACAGATATGTAGTATTGTTTTTGACTGAGACATTAATCACATTTGTTTTGATGGAATTTACGTCATTCGTGTCTACCTCTTGGTACAAATATTGTCGTTAAACGGTATTTATCCACTGTATTTGTTTCTACGTAGGTGTATACTGTTACATTTATGTTGTATTACATTAGTTAAAACCAATAAAAATGTACTATTTGTTTGTCTCATTAGTTTTATGAAAACCAATATTTTTTTAATAATAAGAATTTTTAATAAGAATATTTTCCTTGGCATTTATTAATTGAGGCATTTACGTGAGGTGACGTAAGAGAATCAAAAAACACTAACACAAAAACACTAGAAGCCTACCACTACAAACAATATCTGTCTGTCAAGACCCAACCTTAAATGAGATTAGTATTAGATATAAGACCATTAGTAGGGTTTTACTCGCTTGTGAAGGAAAGAACATATTATATTATGAAATATCTACTTACACATCTTCACAGTGCATCTTTACTTACGCGTTTCCTGATACGCAGTTAGCAAATATTTTTGGATTGACTTATCAACTACTTCTGTTCTAGGTAAAGGTTCAATTTTAAAAATCTCTCAATATCAATACTAGACAAAATTAACGCTTTAGAACTACGTGAAAATGCTAGTTATTTGTACGAAAACTGTAAATAGCCTAATTATTATTAAATTATAGTAAATCATTGATTGATAACCTCAGTAATAATTATTATAATAATGATTAGGTACTTATTGACAAATTCATTTACAATTTTGTAGAACTATTTGAAACTTTATGATTAGATAATAATACGACATATTAAGACCACGTGTATTTATTTATCGTAAGCAATATCTTTTGGTTGGGCCATTTGTTTTTAATGACTAATACGGTAAAAGCCGATGCGATATGGGAATTCACCATATTGATATGCGTAGAATGGATGGTTTCTATAAAACAAAATGATAACATTATAATACTGTTTTGATTTCCTTATTGACCTGTCTAGATAATAAAATTTTTGTTTTGGTTAGATTGGTTTGTTTATTTTGTTACTTCTCCAAGAAAAGCCGCGGTAGCTCAGGTGTTAAGTGCTCGCCGTTAGTTTTTTTAGTACGCGAGCAAGCAACAGGGGCTTGATCCCTACTGGAATCAATAAAGTTGTTGATTGCAATTTTAATTGCTGGTTCAACGCGTGCTCGGTGTCGAAGGAAAACATGGTGTGGAGACAAACACGCCTTACTGAAAAATCTATGCTAAAATATTAAGCAAATATTTCTAAGATATGTGTTTTTTATTAATTGCTATATAACCTTCTCAGAAATGAGAGGAGACCTGTATTCCAACATTGGGACATAATTATAACTTTTTAATTTTAGTTTGCCATGTGGTAACAGTATTAAAATTAATTAAAATTCATAGACATTCACTAAACTAACAACAGGCTGAGTTTACATACTTTCCTTAAATATATACTAATCGTTTTTTTATGGAATAAGAGTGACAAAAGAGCACACGGCCTACTTGATGGTAAGTGGATACTGTGGCCCATAGACATCTACATTAATTTATCCTCGATTAAAAATCAAAAAGCAAAATACATTGTCACCTCTGAGGACTAGGATGGAATGCTTCATTTCAGCAGCAGTTTATGCTGCTATTTCACGCTAGTATTCTGTGTGCGCGTGGTCCTACCAACGTCGAGCTGACCCATTCGTGTTACAGCCACAATATGGCTTCAGAGTACATGCTAATCGTCTTTATTTGAATAAAAATCTGTTTCAATATTATTTAACTGGAGGTATTGTAGTTATTGAATTTATGCAACACCTTCCACTTTCTAATTCTACTCAAGTACGTACAGTCTTGTGAATCGTGACTTCTCTATAGAATGTAAGTTGAGGAAATATGTTAACACGTATGTTCAATATTTGTACCATAATATAATTGGTCGTGTTCATCTTTGTCTTGCTGGATTGTATACGCATTGTGAGATTATAAAGCATTTCCATATTGTAATGTCACGTATGCGGACGTGTTAACTAAATGACGTCTGTACATCGCTCTGTTACGAGTATGAATTGCATACAATCTCATCCCGTGAAGGCGTGCATAATATATTAGGGTTGGTTCACACTATATTATAAGCCAATGTTCGACTACTTCAGACTAATGCAGATGGCTCAGATCCGTGCTTTGTGGCATTTCTTGTGGGAGGCCATGATGATGACTACCCTGATAGTAAGTGGTGACGTAGTCGAAGATAGTAGAGTTAAGTTTTTTCTTTATCAACCCGTAACGCTAGTTATAACACTCCAATTGAAGTAAACTAACAATTGGCAGTTTCACAGACAGACCACAGGTCCATATATCTCGCACATTTGACGCTGCTAACCGTCACTGGTCTGTATATTTTACATTTGAAAGTTATTTATCGCGAATAAGGTTTTTCTGGTCTTAACCATCGTGGTTTCTTACAACACGGACTATGAAATATGGGTGATTAATCGTTTTATGCCGCTATTGCACTACTTCAAGCCTTTTATATCATAAAGCTCACATGAACATCAAATTTACCGTTTGTAAAAGCTGAAAATATTAGAAATTGCAAGAAACTCTGAGGTCCTTGTATAAAAAAATATATGATAATTTATTGTGCCAGCCACTCACTCATAAGCGTAGAATGAATTTTATTTTCATATATATCCTTACTACCACGTACCAAGTTCGCTTGTGCGACTAGATTGCAGGGACGAATAAGTCCAATCATAGAGACGAGGCCCAGTTAAGCCATGTAGAGACTCGTAGACAACACGAATGTGGGGCCCTCTTTCCCTTTATCGAACTTCCTATATCAAATAAAAAAGTTTTTTTTCTAAGACTACATGACCCATATGCTACGTGATGTTCATGAGCAGCTGCCTACTTTGTCTATAGGTCAATACGGCCCTAGAAGAGGGCAATCACAACGCAATCGGGGTAGGAAATCAAGAATTTGTGTTTTGTACAATGATGCAATGAAAATCGAATCTAGGACCCGCAGCTCTATTTTCCCACATGAATTTATAAATGTGCTCTTTGCGGTAAGACAGAATGCAGGGAACCTGCATGTCTGAGAAATTAAATGTTTTGAGAGCATGTGTGCTATGTGACAAGTAGCTGTCAGTCTCAGGAATGGTCGAGGCTTATGTCCAGCAGTGGATTAAATATAGACTGTAACTTTACTTTTACTTTGACATAATATTATGTTAAGTTACTTAATAATGAATGTTGCATGTTTCATACATTTTCACCCATATAGACCCATCCGTACCATTAAAGCTATTTTATTAGTTGTCAGCACGCGAATCATTTTATTTTGCGTTTTTCTCACACGCTTATTTTTGTTTTCAGAATCTGATCTCACCGGGCTATCGCATGTCGGTAAGTACATCACTATTATTTATTTATATCATTCTGCGTTTTTATTATTTACTAGTTAAAACACTCATCCGCAAACGCGGGGGAATTCGGGTACAAGCACAGTTATTTCAATTTTTTCTAAAATATTACAAACGTCTTCGTTTTTCTCTTGAAGTACGTATAAAACAACTATTTAATTAGTATGTTCTGAAACGAAATTACTATATGAATGAATACTCAGCAATATACTGTGTTTATTTCGTTTGGCCGGTGCAAATCAATAGAACCGATGCGATGGGTCGAATCGGGTCATTTTTCTCCGACTGAATGAAACCCATTTCATACTGAAAAGTTATTTTGATCACAATAAATTAACTACATCAATTGGAAATAGTGCAGCTTTCTATTAGTTAAAGATTATTCGAATCGAATTAGCATTTTCGGAGATTACATTCCCAACAAACTAAATAACAAACAACTTTACCTCTTTATTTGTGTTGATTTTTATCATTTTTGGCTTTATCACATTTAAATAACGATCTTAGCGAGAAATCGACGCAATATCTTATAAAATGTGCCGTAAGATAACAGTTTAAATTTGTTGAAAAAGCAAAATTGTAAACAGTACCAATTGTAAACAGTACCTTTACCTTAAGTCATTGTTGTTGTAATCATCGTTATCATTGTATTCGTTATCATCATCAACCTGTTCAACAACACACAAACTAAGCACATACGGACCTCATCCAAGTTAGTCGTAATCGTCAAGCTTGGCTTAGAAAACGCTTGTGAAATACAATCAGACATAAGCTTAGATGCAGTGTTTATTTCACTGACGTAATCACAACAAAATTAATGGGTAGGTACAGAAAATTGAGCAATTTATGTATGTAAAACGCCACCACGATGAGGGAATAAAACGTTTTTTTTAATGGTAACATTTAGGAAAAACAAAGAAATCCACGAGCCGTGTTACAAAAAACATTTTGATTATTATTATTTACCAGGCCATACAAGTGTGTAAAATATGTATTTTATTACGAAAACAGAAACCGGTTTAATCTTTTATTCATTTAATAATATGACGATACCAATCACTAGGAGAACATACGACTACGTAGGCAGCGGTCGTCGCCTTCCGCTACCGCATTCTAGACTTACCTTATTCAATAAATAACTTTTATATAATATTAGGTATATGGAAAAGCAATAAATCGAATACGTAATAGGAAATAAATGATATGTAAAGCCCTGGTAGCTCAAAAGTTTAACGAAAAATGTTCGACCCAGGTTCGATCCCGCTGGTACCAACGAAATGGTTAATCACAATTTTAAGCGCCGATTTCCACGTGCTCAGCAGTGAAGGAAATATCGTTACGTAGTAATATTATTAATTCTGTGATATCGTGGGAAAACATGCAATGCACGACTAAACAATTTAAAAAATAGTAATAAAAAATCAAAATTTGTGAAGTCCGTCACGCATAAGGGTAGGATAACAGATACTTCTATACCCTGAAACCGTTTCTGAAATGAGAGGAGGCTTCTGACCGTGTACTTTGTTGACTGTTACTAACACTAGACTATATATAGGCTACAACTTTACCTTTAAATACTTTTACCTTTTTAATATTTATATATTATTGCCATTTTACTTTAAGCAACTGAGATTTATAGCTTGTAATTTAAATTTGTCTAGTAAAACCTTTCACCCATCGCAAGTTGTCGCAAGAAAAGAATCTGAAGACTTTGTAGTCGTCCGATAGATGGCATTATATTCAAATTTATATAAAAGATATAAAATACCATCAGGCGCAGGCGCAGCGACATTGGTGCGATACGTTGAGTAATTCGATCTTCAATTTGCTTTCCAAACTTTGCAAATTCGGTAAAGTAGGGAACTTTAGGTGAGACCCTTGTATAGAAGTAGACAGTTAACGGGTTGATAAGAAAGAACAAGGAAAAGAAAAAGGAAAGTAAAAACCTTTGTTCGAAACTACAAAACAATAGAATGTAATGATATCTTATGGTATTAATATTAAAGAATATAGATTTATATTATGACGAATGTTTTTTATCATTCTTGCCTACGTTGAGATAGTGCTTGGATAATCACAACTGATAATCAAAAATCTCTTTTTCATTAATAAATATTTAACACTGATAATTAATTTTAATTGCTCAATAAATTGATAATACTGACTAATCCGTAAAGTGGGTATCCGCAGAAGAATAGTAATAACTAACATAGTCCAGAGGATCAGTAGGCTGAAGTGGCAGTGGCCGGCCATAATATTTTTGACAACCGAGCACACAGTCCACCTGATGGTAAGTGGTTGCTGTGACCCAAAGATATCTCCATTTATCCTCAATAAAGAATCAAAATGCATATGCGCCGTCACCCGTGAGGACTAAGATGGAATGCCTCTTTTCCAATAAAATGGGTCTCCGCTTCTCTACATTCACCATACGAAACACATCAGTGTTAAGCTGGTATTCTGTGACAGCGTGGTCCTTCCTCGTTCGAGTCGACCCATTCGTGCTATAACTATACTACTAATATAGCTGCAGCATGGCTTTACCACGTTATAAAATATAGCTCAAAGGACCGTCAACCGATGGGAAATGTTTTCTGATGCGCAGTTGTGTAGCGATCGTCCACTAGATGGCGTGACGTACTAATAAAACATACAGGTAGTCGATAGTGCTCAGGAGTGCTTTGTGACAATCTATGTTCACTTGTGGATTTGTGACGGTATGTAATGATAATGATAATGTGATTGAGTTGAATATAACGTTCTTTTTTATATTTTTGTTCGCTTTTTGAAAACCTCCATATTTTCATAGGTTCATAATAAACTTTACCGTCCGTCGTTTGTCTTAATAAAAGTTAATGAGTTAAAAAAGTTACTGTTAGGTTTAGGAATAGCGTCAGACTAACTTGAGCTATGTTTTAAAACCAATCGGTAAGGTCTATATTTAAACATAATTTACAGTAATCCAAGGGTGTTTAAGGTTGTAAAAGTATTACGTGTCTATTAATGAAGATGTATAAGTATCTTATAAAAAGCAAAGGAAGTTTCCACTTTAAATTGTTAGTCTGTCGCTTAGATCCTATTACATCTGTGTAATGTAGTGTTCATATTCTGTTGCGGGCATACGAGTGTAACAGCCGGCATGCGTTTCAATTAAGGTCTATAACCGTAATTGGCCTGACGGTGTGGTCACCCGCAATAAAAAGGCAAGGGAAAGACTGAAATACAAGCAAAGTTAATGTTAGTTCGTTTTAGTTTCACACGATCTAAATCGAATTCGTGTGATTTTTATGAGCTTATATCTTTTATTTGTGCTAATTCATGAAAGACTATTTGAGACTTCAACAATCCTTTTGATAAAAATGAGCGCTTTTATTTTTTAAAGCTAATTTACGTTTTAATGGGGAAAAAACTAACACAAGTAGGGGAATTTTCTGTTGATGTGTATCTTGTTATTGTTATATTTATAAATATGTATATATAAAGATTTTACTCTCGGCAATATTGATTCTGATAACACCTTTCTGCGATGTAAGCAACCAGGTGTTATTGTACGACCTTATGATACAAGCAACTATCAAGAAACCACGACGAGGAAAAACCATTATTATAACTCAATGGGAAAAACAAAAGATAATATTCACGGTTGCGGTTACCGATGGCGCAATCACAATAACAATATTATTTCTGTTTTTAATAAATAAGTAAATATTTATTAAAAATCTTTCATAAAAAATAACGGTTTACCTTCGCACACGCAGCTCTTCACTTATTACGATGCAATATTTTATTAACGATTAATTTATGACTAGTAACAAAACGAATAATAGTGCAAAACCATTGTTATTTACTTAAATGGAATAGAAAGCGTGTTCATAAAATATTACTTTAAAATTTTAATATTAGTTAGCACTGAAAAGTTAATCATTTTTTAACACGATTTTGTTATTTTTGCATGTATCTATCTATCTATCTATCTATCTATGTAACGGAATATTTTAATGTAATTTTCACCAACTTGTAGATGGTCGATTGACTTGAAAATCTGCAGATGTATCAAGAACCGATAACAATATAATAATTTAATAACTTTATCTTGATATCCTGATCAGAGTCACCAGGATAATTCTCTCTAGAATCATCACAGCTCATGAACAATACGTGTTTATTAAGCTTTCTTAAATTCTAACATTATTTGTATTGGTATGTTTGATTGTGCTATGTTATTAAATAGGTCCTCGACTTTGTTTAAATATTCTTACTCTCATAAAATGGGACATAAAGATTGAGGAGATTTATACTTAAAACTTCAAAAAAAAACTTAAACATGTGCTGAAAGATATAACAGTTATCTGTAATATCTTTCCATTTTTATATTTAATACTTTTATAACAATCACTATTTTTATATTTTATATTTTTGATTTCCAATCACTGCACTATTACGACAATATTGTCTTTGGTTGCATATCGATTCTTTTTTATATGGTTATGAATTTTTCTATTGCCTACAAACACTTTCAAAATAAAACTTTTAAAATAAAAAAAAGTTTTTCTATATCTGCTTTTGTATCTGTATAATTCTAAATTAATGTTAGACATGTAAACTACTAACTTGTTGTGGATAATTATAAAAATATTTTGATAATGATTAACAGTTAAATGAAAAGTGGCTGGCAACAATCCAATATATTTAATAACCCTTTATTGAGTGGCACTTAACACAATGGAGAAGATTATTGTATGTCATCACGGAACACAAAGACTTACCGAAATAAAGTGTACGATGCGTATGTTTGGCACCACAAAAACAATTTGAGAAACGTTTTATACATTTGAATATTCTCCATTGTTTTCAGTTTTTGGTATAGACATAGTATACCTAGATGTGTTTTAATAGGTTTACTATCATCGCGTAATTACCGCGTGGCCTAGTCTTCTGCGCACTTGGCAACTATGTCGTGGGTTCAAAGCCCAGCCGGAGTAA